AGAAATGGCAGCCACCTAGGAGCGAGCAGAAGGCCTGGCTTCGCTCCAGGCTACAACGTTTCAGTTGTAGAAGATAAATAAATCTCAGATACTAGGGCCTCTGTTTGGGTGACTGTAGGGCATCGGTGGCTTGCAAACCACCACAGGCCTCTCGCCCAGGCTGCCCCATGCCCCAGGGGAACCCCCACGCTGATCCAGAATACCCTTCAGGGCAAACCAGCTGGCCCCCACCCATGCATCAGGCCTCTATCCTGTCTAATAAAAGAGTAATATACAGATTGGCCATCACTCCAACAAACAAGATGGCTTCCCCCATGTGTTCAAAGATCCTGTCCCCATGTGGACACAAGATGGCCGACACAAGATGGCCAGCAGGTGAGGGCTATTGTGAGGGACCAGGCCTTCAGGGGAGGGCAGTTAGGAGTGATCATGCCAGCAGGGGAGGGCAGTTAGGGGTGACCAAGCCAGAGGAGGGAAGTTGGGGGTGACTGGGCCTGCAGGGAAAAACAGTTGGGGGGAGGGGGAACCCAAAGCCTGCAGGGGACAGTATTAGGGGGAAGACCAGGCCTACAGGGAAGGGCAGTTAGGGGTGACCAGGCCTGCATGGAAGGGCAGTTAGGGGCAAACAGACTGGTAGGGGAGCAGTTAGGCTTTGATCAGATTGGCAGGGGGGTGTTTAGGGGATGATCAGGCTGGCAGGCAGAAACAATTAGGGGCAATCAGGAAGGCAGGCAGGCGAGCAGTTGGGAGTCAGCAGTCCTGGATTGTGAGAGAGATATCTGATTATCTGGTGGGATCAGGCCTAAATGAACAGTCGGACATCCCTTGAGGGGTCACAGATTGGATAGGATGCAGGCTGGGCTAGGGACACCGGCTCTAGTCCATATAATAAAAGCCTAAGCGACCATTATGGCAGATCGACCAGAACAACCAATTTTATGAGTTGCCCCCTGGTGATCAGTGCACTCCCACAGGGGGAGTGGTGCTCAGCCAGGAGCTGGGCTCACAGCTGGCAAACGCAGCGGTGGTGGGAGCCTCCCGCCTTTGTGGCAGCGCTAAGGAGCAGTGAGCTGAGCATAAGGAGCAGCAAGCAGGCAGGTAGTAAGGACTGAGGGGTCCCACATTGCAAGAGGACACAATCAAGCTAAGGGGATCCCCCCAAAGCATGAATTTCATGCAACTGGCCTCTAGTAATATATAAATCCATTATAAACATCTCACTAATTCTTATTAAGTGGAGGGAAAGTGATGTGAATTCATGAAACTCAATTATTTCCTAATGGAAAAGGAAAAAGTCCTCCAGGATAAATTTTAACGAACAATTTTTATTTATTTTTAATTGGCATATCGTTTTACTATAAATACTTTAAGCTTCTGAATTACCTGCAGCTTGGAGGGCTTAATCAAGCCATCTGAAGTTCAGTATGCACCAGTAATGGTCTTGCTCTTAAGACCTTTCTTCACAGAACTAGAATAGTAAATGTCCATTGATATTTAGGACTTTAAATATCCTGGCTTGGTGAGACCTAATTTCCAGTGAATGCACTTGAAAATCCTGAGTGCAAAGACTTGTGCTCTGATCATTCTTATAGTATGAGAATCTTCCTGAGAAAGGGTGAGGTAAGTGTGACCCCTTCAGAAAAATGGGTAAGGCTGTGCTCAGTCAATTGACCTGCAGAATGTTTATAATTTAGGATTTCCGTCTTCTCTGTGCTACTTTAGCAGCACACCTGATTTGGTTTTTTAGAGATAAATTTCAAGGAAAACATCACCTAAATTTTATTTCAAATAACATCTCTCTGATGCCCAAAAATGTCAAGTTCATAATCTGCTATTATGATATGACTCAGAAAAGGGAAATGTCCCGTCAATCACAATCTCTATTATTTTTAAGGACCTCTAGTTTTTATTATCAAAAGAGAATGCCAGAACCAATTTGGTATTGAAAATTGAACACTTACTTAGCTGGATGAATAAAAACCATCATGTGGTAAGTTTGTGTTTGTTTGTTTGTTTTTTAATTCAAGGTCAGGGAGAAAATGTGTTGCTAATAATATATATATATATATATATATATATATATATATATATATTATTGCTAATAATATATATATTATATATATAATATATATATATTATATTTTTTAATTTTAGGTCTAGTAATAATTAATGTCGTTTTCTAATACTTTTAAAATCGAATTTATTTAAACAATACAACAAAATTTAATCAACAATATAGTTGCCGTTGTTTTCTACTACTTGTGCCCAACGCTCAGGAAGCATTTTAATCCCTCTGTTGTAAAATTCTTGTGATTTTGATGCAAAAAATTCGGTCCATGCATTTTTGAGGCATTCTTCATTATTAAATTTTTTTCCAAGAAGAAAGTTTTGCAAAGAACGAAACAAATGGTAATCGGAAGGGGCAATATCAGGAGAATATGCAGGTTGAGGGAGAACTTCCCATTCCAACTGGCGCAGTTTTTCAGCAGTGATTCTTGCAGTATGCGGTCGTGCGTTATCGTGGTGAAGAATTACGCCCTTCCGATTAATCAGCGCGGGTTCTTTTTCTCTTAAAGCTTGGGCTAACCTTTCCAATTGGGCACTATACACTACACTTGTAATGGTTTGGTTAAATGGTAAAAGTTCATAATGAAGAATTCCTTTAAAATTCCACCAAACACACAACATCACTTTTTTCGCATGCAAGTCAGGTTTTGGCGTGGGCTGCGGAGCCTCATTTTTGTCCAACCATTGAGGCCGCCTTTCCAAATTAACATACAGCACCCATTTTTCATCTCCGGTAACAATTTGCTCTAAAAACGGCAAACGGTTTTGACGAGAGAGGAGCAAACTGCAAATTGTGACTCTTTGATTACGGTTGTTGTCGGTCAACTCATGAGGAACCCATTTTCCAAACTTTTGGACTTTGCCAAGTGCACGCAATTGATTGGAAATTGTTTTTTGTGAACAATTTAAAGTTGTCGCAAGCTCTTGTTGGGTAATTTGAGGATTTTGCACCAAAAGAGCTTGAAGAGCTTCTTGATCAAAATTGGACACACGGCCTCGACCACTCTTGTCATCTAACGAAAAATTTCCCTCGCGAAATTTCTCAAACCAACGCTGGCATTTTCTGGCGCTAACTGCATCTTGACCAAGAGCACTATAGATGTTTTTTGCAGCCTCACTTGCTTTTCTTCCTAATTGGAACTCGTAAAGCATGCAGTGCCGAATATGCTCTTCATCCGCCATCTTCTTAGCCCTAGTTTTGCAACAAAAACCAAACCAAACACAAACTTTTTCAAGCAAAACTTGTTAATTGCACTTCACATGTTCTGTAGATACCACGTGTTTGAAGGTTATGTCAATACAAGTCAACGCCAAGCAAGATTTTAAACGAATGTTTTAAAACGACATTAATTATTACTATATATATATATATATATATATATATATATATATATATATATAATTGATTTTTTACAGAGTGTAAGAGAGAGGGATATAGAATTAGAAACATCGATCAGCTGCCTCTTGCACACCCCCTACTGCAACCCAGGTACATGCCCTTGTCTTGAATAAAACCTGGGACCTTTCAATTCTAAGGCCGATGCTCTATCCACTGAGCCAAACTGGTTTCAGCTGTTGCTAATATTTTTTGGATAGGTTGGAGAGACAATTTTCCAACAGTAAATTTGGCTATACACAAAATGAAGACTATAAGAAATCTGACAAATTTTTTCTCATCTTCTTAAATGGTATTTAGCTTTAAAATCACCAACCTAGAGATTTAGTGTCAATTTGAGGTTTTTTCTTACCCCCCATTTTAATACATTTAATCCCATCTGAAAACATGTATAATCCCATCTGGTCTTGTTCTCACAGGTTCTGTGTAAGAAATACTAAAAACCCCATCTTCCATTTAGGGTATCAGACCAACAGATAGTAAAACTTCCCTATGTGATGCCTCCCAGGCACCCCAAAAATCACATTCATCTCCCCTGTTACCAAAACAGATTTTTATCTAGATTCTTCCATTTCTAAATAGTACCATCAATCACTGAACAATAAGAAATGGCTTTTTTTTTGTAGGTCATAAATAAATTAATATTGGCAATTTCAAACAGATCAACTTTTTCAGACCAGAAATCTGGGTGAAATCCCTTTTACCTCACTTCCCTTCAACTCTTACAACAAGCCAGTCATAAAAACTAACAAATTCTATTTCTCAAGCAGGTTCTAAATCCATCTCTAAAGCAACCACTTTAGCACAATCATGATTGATTGGCCTCAGCAATCAATGAGGTCCATCCAGCTGAGTAAGTGTGCAATGACTACGTTATATCATCCTACTTCTATGCTAGAAACCAGTCCACAGCTCCTCCCTGCCCTGCACACAGTTCTGCCCTTCACTCACTCCCACCTCACTCTGTTTTCTGGTTACTGTACTCTTTTATTTTCTCAATATGCTCCTTGAGAGTCTTGGTTTTTTATATATGTTCTAATTTTTCTATTTAGGATTTTTAAAAATGAAATTGAAACATTTCATTGTCTTAAAAAAATTCAAAATCAAAAGGCTATACCAAGATTCTGGAACTTTTCTGAATTATTCCCTGGCCTGGCTGCATCTAGTGATAGTTACTGTTAAAAGAAAAATAATAATAATCAAAGCTAATATTTATTGAGGGTCAAGCTGACAGAGCTAATTAAGGTGCAGAACAGGGGCTGTGAAGTTTGGCAGAGCTAATAAATGGTATGTGTTAGAAAGAGCCATCATTCAAAACATGCTTTGAGTGCTCTCAGCCACTCAATCTTTGGGAAAGACAACCTTTCAAACACAGGAACCCTCTCTCTACACCCTGAAGACTAAGAGCAGTGACTACAGATAGATCCAAAAGACACATTTTAGCTGTAATGCTTCTAAATGTGCTCCAGTTAATCCCACTCCATTTCCAGGAGCAAGTCTCTCTCAAGCAGCACCTCATTGAAAGCAGGGATCCTACCGGGAGGAAGAGTCTCTGGGCAGCGCAGGGTTTGAACAGCTTCCTCCACTCCTGGGGGTTTCCCGTGGAAAATGTGATGGGGTAGATTCTGTGCACAAACTTCTCCGTATACGAGTCAGGCCACTGCTGTAACTGAAAAACATGGAAATCAAGGGGAGGGTGATCAGACCCCCAGAAATATGGAAACCACCTGAAGCTTCTGAATGCTCAAATGGAATATATTCCAGAAACTTACATAAAAAGCCTTGCTATGTCACCACTTTTGATGCTCGCTGAGGAAAGACCATTGCTATGATTAAAAAGTAACTTCCAGAGGTGGCAAGGGTGATGAGAAACACGTAAACACGGTGAGGACAGTACAAATCGAGCAAATTTTCAAGAGGGAAATTGGGAAAGTGGTAAGGATAAATCCTCAAAGGCAAAAATACAGAACTTTTACCCAAACCTATTTTTATAGGAAAGAAAAATGACACACACACTTAGGAACAAACAAAATGCTCCTAATTCATTATTATAGAAATATGCAATGGACTACTGAACAGTTAAAATGAAATAGATCTATATGTGCTGACATGAAAATAATGGCTGATATTTAGTTAGGTTTTAGAAAAAGCGAGAAAGCAAGATTTTGAAAACCTATTTGAAGAAATAATGACAGAAATCTTCCCCCACCTGGTGAAAAAAATAGACTTACAAGTCCAGGAAGCACAGAGAGTCCCAAACAAGAGGAACCCAGAGAGGCCCACACAAAGACAAATCATAATTAAAATGCCAATGGCAAAAGACAAAGAGAGAATCTTAAAAGCAGCAAGAGAAAAGCAGGTAATTAATTACCTACAAGGGAGTAGTCATACATTTTATTTATTTATTTATTTATTTATTTATTTATTTATTTATTTATTTATTTTCGAGTGAGGCTTTTTATTGTTGTTTTTCTTCCTTTTTTTTTTTTTTTTTTTTTTTTTTTTTAATTAAGGGTTCCTTACTGGTCCTGCTTCCATGAGTTGCCAAGACTAGGTGGAAAGGGGGAGGGGAACCAGGCAGCATGGGAAAGGGTTATCTTCACAACATTCCATTTATACACAGAACTGAACAGACAAGCACAGAGTCACTAGTGCAGTTAGAAGTTGGCAGCATGGAATGGGGGACAGGGAGAGGAACAGGTTGCAAGTAGGGGTGTTGTTAAAAAAAAAAAAATACAGGCCCTCTCCAAAACTGGGGTGCCTGGGGTAGGGAGGACTTGGTCTGTTTCAACCCAAGAGGAATCAGAAGATCAAAAGCTGTTTGGGAAGGCCAGAACCATCAGGGGTGGAGGGATAAGGAAGGTCCAGGGGGTGGGGGACTGTTTGGCAACTGGGTGAAGGTATTGCCCTCCCCCTGCTGGGATCCCTCCAGCCCTCCAGTCTGGCAGAAGGGGGGCAGCCTGCAACTCCCCACAGGCAGGTGTGGGGCTGCCAGATGCTCCAGGCAGGGGCTGGAGAGGGCTCACAAAGGCTTGCCCTCTAGGGGGAGGACAGCACTGCCCCCCAGCTTCTCTGCCAGAGTGCAGCGGTCCTTCACCTCCACATAGCAGTTTGCTTGTAATTCATGCTTGATCCCCGTAAGTTTCTCCTTGGAGCTGGCATAGATCATTTTGCTCTTAAGAGGCGCAGACTCAGGGCCCAGAAGATAAACACCAGGTCCTCCTTCTTGCTCTCCTTGGTCTCACAGGTCGCATCATACAGAGCATAGCGGCAGTCTTTGTCCGGCAGCATCTTGACGAAGGTGGCATAGAGGTAGTCCACTGTCTGGCCCACCTCACCGACCAGGATCTCCTTGCCCTCTTCCAGAATGATGTTCTTCTTGTCTTCGCTCAGGCAGAAGAGCACCGCCTTCTTGCGCTTCTTCACCTCCTCTGGTGTGGAGGACTTACGTACCTTTATGTCATTGAACACTTTGATGACTCCATCAGAGACAGCCACACCAGAGGCCATGTTCCAGAAGCTAAAGGAGATAGCAAGTAGAGCCTGGAAGGACAAGAGCCACTGCAGCTGCTGCTGGGATCAGACTCTGGCCATACATTTTAATAGTTGAAAAAATAAAAACAAGAGTAATATTTTGTGATGTGAAAAACCACATGAAATTTGAATTCCAGTGTTTATAAATAAAGGTTTTATTGGCACTCAGCCACACCCATTTGTTCACGTGTTTCTACGGCTGCTTCCACAGTAAAAGCAGAGACAAGTGACCTCGATGTGCAGCCTGCAGAGCCTGAAATAGCCACCAGCTGGTTCCCCAGGAAAAGCTGGCCAGGCCCTGTCTTAGAAGTAACTCAATCATCGAAGTATCAGTCAGACAAGAGAAAATATAGGCTCTGATCCTATTTCTGATGTTAACATGAAAAAAGAAAAATAACTAAATACACCAGAACTGTTGTCCCTAAGCATTAGTATGATGGTTAATGTTTTTTCATTTAAGATTTTATGACTTTTTTTCAATGTATGTGTACTGCTTATTTAATCATATAAAAGTTTTCAAAAACCACATAACATTGGGAACACTTTAAATTTGCAACTTTACAACTTTAAGATGGATATTTAGGCTCTGGACAGGTAGCTCAGTTGGTTAGAACATCATCCCAATGTGCCAAAGTTGGTTTTGATCACAAGTTGGGACACATACAAAAAGCAACCAATGAATGTATAAATAAGTGAACAGCCGAAACCGGTTTGGCTTGGTGGATAGAGCGTCGGCCTACGGACTGAAAGGTCCCGGGTTCGATTCCGGTCAAGGGCATGTACCTTGGTTGCGGGCACATCCCCAGTAGGGGATGTGCAAGAGGCAGCTGATCGATGATTCTCTCTCATCGATGTTTCTAACTCTCTATCCCTCTCTCTTCCTCTCTGTAAAAAATCAAATATATTTTTAAAAAAATAAATCAGTGAACAAATTGATGTTTCCCTCCATCTCCCCCCATTTCTCTCTCTAAAAATCAATCAATAATTTTTTTCAAAGGATGGATATTCAGGAGAGAAATCTCAGAATGAGCAAGAGTAGGAGTGACAGTCAAAGTACTTGACAAATGACTTATGTCAAGGGCCTGACCAATCATAGCCACAGCAGGACAGATATTCAATACAACTGCAGAGACAGCTGGGACTGAGACCAGGTTAGCCATCAAGGGAAACAGGATCCAGCAGCCAGTGGATACACACTAGCAGACCCAAAGCAGGGGTGCCTCTACAGCCCCCCACCAGCCCTGGAGGGGCACAGGAGAACCCGGCTCAACAGCTTTCCTTAACAACTTGATCCTTACCAGACTTCTATGTCAATCTATGTCTTTTAACTGAAATATTCAGGCCATTCACAGTTTCACTATGCACACATAGGAATCATTGCTGATTGCAAACACTGAGCTCTCCTATTGACACTTCCTCCATGGCAATCTCACACACACACACACACACACACACACACACACACACACACATACACAGGCTGTCGCTGCCCCACTGTCCCTGCCAGAACAGATCGAAGGCCATCCCCCTTTCTGTGACCCATTGCTTCCTAATACTGAGTCTAGGGCAGGAACATAGGGAAGCCAAATCTAAATCCCATATCTGATCCCAAACTTCCTGGAGAGTCCAGGAAGTCAATAAGCTGTCATTTTCAGCTTCTATTTCAGGAGATGACAAAGATAAATGAAACTTTAAAATATTAAAGATCTACGATGTACAAGGTAAGTATCACCATATTTAAGCAGAATTAAATTAAATTCTACTTAAATAAAGCTCACCCACAATGCAACTTCCAAAGGAATAATGATGGCGAATAGTTTTCTTTTGTTGTTGTTGTTGTTGTTGTTGTTTTTTACCCTGTTTTTGCACTTCCCAGGAAGTTACTACAAGAAACTTTGGGTATTCCCACAATGCTGCTGTGTTGGCACTTACAGCTCTGAGCAGTGGCATAACCTGCCCTCCACCTTCCCTGTGGCTGAGGGAAACCGCTGCTGAGCCTCAGCTAACACACTGCCCATGTCTAGGAGATGTTCCCAGAACCTTTGTGGAATGAGAGAATATATAGGTGACTTCACACTTCACTCTGCAATAAGCAGAGCACGCATCATGTGTCCCTTTGTGTACCCATCTGCCATGGGTTTGGTTAACTCTTTGCTACAAAGACATTGGAACTGAGAATTCAGTGACTTGTGTAAAAGCCAAGATTTTAAATCAAACCTGGCACTACAGTCTGAGTATGAAAAAAACGGGATGACACCATTGGTCCTGCCCAACTTTTAACATTTAAGTATAATTTCCTCCATTAGTTGTGCTTTCCTGACCTAACAAAGCCCTGAGGAAATGAACCATCAAAGGGGTAAAGGCATCAGAAAATTCTAAATGTGGCACAACTTCACATGTATGCAATGATTTCACCCATGTAATTTGCTGCTAATTCCCCCCAAACTGAGTAATTTTGTATTTTATTATGTTCATGGGTCCCCTGGTCCAGGAGTGTGGGCAAGGCCCAGAAGGGGCAGCCTGACCCTGGTCCACAACATCTGGGCCTCTCCTGGAGCCCGGAAGGAGGAGCTGGGATCACTCGGAGGCTCGCTTGCCCACATGTCTGTGGGAGAGGGGAGTTATTGGCTGGGACTCGGTCCCTCTGCATGGACCTCTGTGTGTCGTCTCTCATGCAGGCTAGCTGGGCTTCCTCACAGTGCAGTGCCAGGCTCCATTGAGGCATCCCAATAAGAACCAAGCAGAAGCCATCTCCTTTCTATGGCCAAGGCTCCGATGTCACATAGCATTACACGTCTCATACCCTATTTTATATGAACACACATATTACGTATGTTGATGTGTACGTATTAGCTATTGCCTTATAACAGCCTAGCAGCTCAGCACCAAAAGCATGGATCTCAGATGGTTCCTTAGGGCAGGAACCTGTGAGCTGCGCTGTGCTGGCTCAAGGCTTCTTGTGAGGCTGCAGCCAATGGCTGAGCTGCAGTCATCCTGACTGGCGGAGTCAGCTGGTTGTTAATAACAGGAAGGAGCAGAGCGAAGGCCAGACACCACAGGCCTATCACTAGGAGCTTCATCGGGAAGCTGCAGTTTCACCCTCCCTGGAGGCCAACCAATGGGAGGCAGATGCATGCCCAGTGAAGTTGGGGGGACGAGGGAAGGTGCTGACAGCAGCTGGCTCCCCCAGAGAAAGGGATCAAGAGAGAAAGAGAATTCGAACAAGTTGGAAGGGGTCATACCGTTTCAACCTAGTTCTGAAGTGGAGGAGCATTGTTTCTTCCCTCTGCCACTGGCCACACAGGCCAGGCTGGCTCGGTGCAGGAGGGAACACAGAGGGAGGGAGGAACAGAAGGTGGGACACGGGGGCCTCTGAGAAATACAACCTGCCCACATACGTGGTCACACAGCCACACCGTCCTCCTCCTGACCTTGTGTGAAGTGGAAGCTTATATTTTGTTTGGCTCCGTCCTCTCCCCCAGCTTCCTGCATGAGGAGGGATCAGGAAGCACTTGTCCAGCAGGTGCTGTACAAGGCGTGACGAATGTTTGCTCCTGGCCCGTATGCTCCTCCTGCACGTGGAGTACTTCTCAGCCCCCTCGCAACACTTCTAGACAAATGGATGGCGCAGAGAAGGCTGCTGCTGTCAGGCAGAGGGACTAAAAAGCAGTCGTGATGCACTCTTCTCCGGAGTGAGACGGGCTTGGAGGCACAGCTCCACAGGTGCACCAGAGCACAGCTGGTCTGCACGAGAGACAGCAGCCACGGGATTCTCCAGAGCGGCCACTGCAGCCTGGCCTGGCTGGTTCCATGGCAGATCTGTCATCTCAGCCATCAGTCCCGCTGGCCCCAAGTTGCAGATGAGAAAACTGAAGCTCAGAAAGGCCACGAGATTTTGTCACTCGGTTTGTAAAATAGGAACATGATTGTTACCTTTACGTCGTTATGAGGATTTCGTAACAGTCAAACATAAACCCTTCACAAATGCTTATTATGACTTCCATCATTTCCAGACCACAGCTTCAGACCAGATACGAATGTTTCCATGATTCTTCCCCCTTCCCCTGACTCAGTTTTCAAAACATTTTGCAAACACATTCAAATCCCCAAGAATATTTGTTCCCCTGGCTTCTCTTGGAGAAGATGTCACAGGTTTTTTCTTTAGGAAACATTTTCCAGCTTCCTGCTGCTGCTACTTTCCTCTGTCCCACCTGCTGCTTGGGCTGTCTCACCTCCTGGCAGGGGGCAGCACTGCTGGCTCAGGAAGCAAGGCCCTCGCAGAGCCAGAGTGGCCTCCTGAACTCACAGACTTCGGGGAAACAAAGCTGGCTCTGCAGGAGCGCCGGGCAGGACAGTGGAGGGACGTTACCCGTGCACTCTCACGTGCTGGCTAAAGAACCACTGTTCGTTCCTCAGCACAGAAACAGTCACAGAAATGATGGCTCAGCCACATAGTTCACTACGAGGCAGTCTCTGAAAAGGCTGATGCAGAAATGTAGGAATCCTGACGCGGAGAGGAAAAGCAAGTTCCAGGAGAACTCTGAGAGATAATCTGATTTTGTAAAATAAATATATGTTAAGTTAGGTACATAATTGTGCATGCATTATTATGTGCCTATATACTAGACCAATGGTCAGCAAACTCATTAGTCAACAAAGCCAAATATCAACAGCACAACGATTGAAATTTCTATTGAAAACCAAATTTTTTAAGCTTAAACAACTTCTTCTAATGCCACTTCTTCAAAATAGACTCGCTCAGGCTGTGGTATTTTGTGGAAGAGCCACACTCAAGGGACCGAAGAGCCGCATGTGGCACGCAAGCCGCAGTTTGCCGACCACAGTACTAGTACATGTATGTATACAGTATATACATATACACACCCACATGGATAAACACACATATACACACACCTGTATATGGAAAAACACATATAGAAGAATCACTCTAAATTGCTAATTCTGATACTTTCTTGGGTAGGACTGAAAGGTTGCAAAGATGCACATTTATTTTATAACCGCTATACTGTTTGAATTTGCTTTAATTAACATATATTACTTATTTATTTATAACACACTACAGAGTACATCAATGAACATAAACTATCCGTCTCCCAAGTGAGAATGATGTTCATAAATCCAAGACGGATCAAGCTCTGGGACAAATGCTTTAAGTGCATCATTTCAATTAATCCTCACAATGCTTCTCTCTGCAGGTGTAATCAACCCTGTGTGGGAACAGTGCCAATGAGAGCACAGAGGCCTTCTTATTCAAATACCAGGATGTTCAAAGCTGTTCCAGGATAAGTCTAATCTGGGTGCTCAAGGCCAAGATACCACGAGCGGGTGCAAGGACACACTGTGCCTTTCTGTAACCCAAATAATTGATGTCACTGTTGGCAGCTAGCCAGCTTTGACTATGCATTAATACACAGGCTACTGACCAGTTAGCCTGCAAAAGAGCAGCTGGGCAGAGCAGAGGCGAGAGAGCTGAGAGGCGGTAGCACAGAGGATATATGGTACTAGCAGCTCCTATGTGTGCAGGAGAGAGGAGCGTTCGGACGGTACTGCTATGAAGGAAGGCTAGGAGCTCCCAGAGAGCTCAGATACAGCTGCCATGTTACCTACCAGTGTGCTGGGCAGGGAGGCAGGAGAAGCTGCTGAGCCAGAGAAGCCATGAGGCTGCAGCTCGAAGGGACAGCGCAGGTGCTATTGCTGTGTAAAGCTTTAGGTTTAGAGGCAGCGTGCGGTGCTCAGATAACAGCTGTGGGTACAGAGACTAATGCTGCTTTATGGGAAACACATGTATTTACCAGCTGGCGTGCGGCTGCCTGCCTGTATGGGCTTTGCTGCAAAGAACTGTCTTGTCTGGTAGTTCTGTGGCCACTGGCTCCTGCAATAAAGACTCATCCTTATAAACCCAAACCTCTCATGGCTTCTCCGCCTGCCCCGCCTCAGAGAAAGAATTGAGCAGAGGATAAAGGGGGACTTGGCTTAAGTTCTCAACAGTGAGTGTAGTGGGCAGGGTTCGAGAAGGAACCAGCCCTGGCAAGTCGGAGCAGTGCTGAGCCGAGTCCCTGTTGGCTGACACCCTGTGTTACAGATAATGACAGTGCGGCGCAGAGTCAAGGGTGCAGGGTCACACAGTTGAATGTGCAGCAAAATACATCTGTGAACAAGATATGCTTTTCCCAAGATGCGCCCACTGACTCCGCACGTATTATGCTGTGCTTTCTGCGAATTCACCTGCTTATCAAACTCGGGCTTCAGAGATTCTTCTGTGAAAATGTGGAAGTGCATCTTCCTGTGGCTGAAGAGCACGGCTGACTTCAGCATGACCAGCGTTTCCTCCAGCCGGTTGCCGCAGGCCACCACAGCCAGGTGCATCCAGAGCCTCTGGGGCAGCGCAGCACGGGAACTCCTGGGCTCTCCGGGTCTCCTGGAAGGGATACACGTTAAAGCTATTCCTCAACTTATAAAAACAGCCAGTAAGTGGTTGGAACATTTCAAAATATGTGCCTGCTCATTTACAAAGTGATAAGCAGACAACTCTTACTGTTCAGAGAACAAGGCCACGTATCCAACATTGACCCTGGCAGTGGCAGGATGTCACAGTTAGGGCTGGGACTTCCATGCCAACGCGCAGCTGTCTGGTGCCTGCCGGCGCCACTGGCCCGCTGGGTAATAGCATCGTAACCTTGACAGCTGTAACGGGCTGGGAAGCTCCCCTCACAGGGGCCATGGAAATTAGATTTGAATGCAACTTGAGTAAGAGGGTGGGACTCGGCTTTTCTCGTGTGAAATGAGCAACTTGCGATCCCATCATCGGGCGGTGTTAGGAGGTGGGGGTGCGTGACCACGGGTCCAAAGGGAAAGCCGAGTCCGGGAGGGGAGCGCAGGAGCTCCGACACCTGCCGGAAGAGGCACGAAGAAACGGCGTCAATCGAGCTATCCACTCACGGCGGGGGTGCACTTCAGCTCTCAGCATGGAACTGGTATTAGTGAGGAACAGGCAGGAGAGGGCAGGTTAAACTGAAAATTACCAAGAAATCAAACACCCAGTTAACAGCTGAGCGGGGACTAGGATCCAAGAGTCCTGCTATTTCATCATAACAAAGGATTTGTTCCAGGAGAGGAGGTGATGCCTGCACAAACACAGCACTGAGAAACAGTCCTGGCTGGAGGGGAAAGGGGCCGGAGCGGGCCTGAGACAAAGGGAACTAACGAACTCGAGCAAAAGATGCAGACAGGGAAGCCTGGACGTCGGAGACCCCTGCCTTCTGAGCCTTGAGCACAGCGAGCAGCGCAGCGAACTGCCATGAGAGGAGGGCAATTTGCTCCTATTCCTTTCCCCAGAAGGAAAGTTAAAGATGGGGTGGAGCTTGCTGGGCAGCTTCCTAATTCGATCACTCTGGAGCATGCTCCGCGAGCCAGGATGCAGAAAGTCCCCAGGAGCCCACTAGTTTTGGTGATCACAGGAAAAGACAGCAGCGAGGTCCCAAGTCTCTCCCTAGATTATCCACTTCTGTTCACTCTCCCGGTGAAGGCCACCATCTTCCCTCCCCTTGGTATCTGGGGCAGCTCCCCTGTGAGTGCAAAGGTGACTGCAGCGCAATAAGGTATTATGAGAAAAAGACAGACTGCACTTTTATTACAGTACTAGAGGCTGGTGCATGAATGTGTGCACAGTGGGGTCGGTGCCCTCCCCAATCCCGGTGATCAGAGCGGGCCAGATGGGGGGATGGCCAGCCAGCCCCCTGGTCAAACTCCCAGTGGAGAGGACAATTTGCATATTAGCCTTTTATTATATAGGATATCTTTATAATTATCCTATTTGTTGTTAGTCTCTCACTGGGCTGAATTCATTAATTAAACTTTATCATGGGCATATATGTACAGGAAAGAACATGTATAAGTAGCCCCTCTCTGGGGCAGATATGCTCTGAGACCCCCATGGATGCTGAAACCATGAGGAGAATTGAGCCCTATCCATATGTTCTAAGCACTTCACAGCACCTCTCTGGCAGATCCAGATTGCCAGCATCACTGCTCCTGCATTCGGAGGCATTATAATATACAAGACTAATAATGTGGCAATCAGTTGCTAACATATCTGCTGCTAGTATTAATGGAGAGAAATGGTGCCCCTGCATGAAACGGGCAAACGGAAAATGAATGCAACGTGATTATAATAATCAGTCATTAGCAAATTTGTTCATTATTAATAATCCTAATATATGAAAACCCAGGGTCCGTAATGACTGAAGGAAGGCTTGACTGAACACCAGAAGTCAGTCTGCAGTCTGCGACCCAGTTCTGACTGCCAAGGGGGCTGGGGATCATGCTGGGAGAGAGCCCCAAAGAGAGAGGCAGGGTCTGATCCACAGCCTCCATGGCAGCTGTTGACCAGCCATTGCCTCTTTCTTTCTCTCCAGGCTTCCCAGGTGCCACGTCTCTGTTTCTCTCGGGGCTTCCAGGGCTGCAGCTGATCAGCCCCGCCTCTCCGATCAGGCCCAGAGATAGGGCTGGAGATGCCGACTTGCATAGAAAGCGAACAATCAGAACCAAATTGGCCATCAGGGGAGGGCCGTGGGGGGCGAGATCAGCTGGCATTTTGTGTTGCTAAAAGAGAAAAAGAGAAGGTGATGCAGGTGGGCATCAACACATCACCTTCTAATGGACCTAAGTCACTCCTGACTGGAACCAAATCATAGATCTCAAATAAGATATCAAGTTTAAGAAACTCCTCTTCCAGGGGCAGTTTTCGGAGTTTCATAATTTAAATAAATCAAGTACTGAGGATAATTTGGAGATGACTGTAAAATGAATTAAATCTTCAACAAAAGTCTTCTATTTTCTATTTAAAAACATTTAAATAATGGTAAAATATGTTACATAAAATTTTGTCTTATTTTATTTTCCCCCTATTTTTAATTTCTTCTATTACAGTACAATAGTATTTTATATTAGTTTCAAGTGTTCAGCATATTAGTTAGACATTTATATAATTTACAGAGATCTGCACCATATATAATTATCACAATATTACTGACTATATTCTCTAGGCCAGTGGTCGGCAAACTCATTAGTCAACAGAGCCAAATATCAACAATACGGTTGAAATTTCTTTTGAGAGCCACATTTTTTTTTAAACTTAAACTTCTTCTAATGCCACTTCTTCAAAATAGACTCGACAAGGCCATGGTATTTTGTGGAAGAGTCACACTCAAGGGGCCAAAGAGCCGCATGTGGCTCTCGAGCCACAGTTTGAAGACCACAGCCTTAGGCTGTACTTCACATCCAACTCCCAATACAAACTTCCTAATCTTGTCTCCATTTTCACCTCGCCCTTCAACTCCCCTCCCATCTGGCAACTATCAGTTTGTTCTTTGTATCTAGGAGTCTGTTCCTGTTTGTTATTTATTTTATTCTCTAGCTTCCACATTTAAGTGAAATCATATGGTATTTGCCTTTCTCTGTATGCTCATTCCACTTAGTGTAATGCCCTCTGGGTCCATCATGTTATCATAAATGGTAAAATTTTCTTTTTATGGCTGAGTAACACTCCATTGAAGTCTTGTTTGCATATGAACTTTTGGATTATTCTATTTCTGTAAAAAAAAAAATGCCATTGGCATAGGGACTGAATTGAACACATAGAATGCTTTAGGTACTATGGACTTTTTAATGAAAAAAGTATGTTCCTTTTTAATGAAATTAGTATGTTCCTATTATGAACATACTAATATAGTAGCAACCATACTCAGGTAAAAACTGCTGTTTGAATTTTAACCCCTCTAATCTGGCTTCTGCACCTGATTAAACACAGGATACTTACCTCTGCTTCCAGGTGGAGACCTAGAGACTAAGGCAATTTTCCCTTGCCTGGGACCAGTACCACAGGAGATTGATTCCCACTCACTCAGTAACCTTCAGAGATAGAAACTGTAGATAACCTCTGAGCTCTACTTCTGTGTTATCGGCCATTGCAAGATAGGGCCACATTCCAATGTTCCCAGCCTTTAGAATTTAGAACAAAGGAAAATTCCTGTGTTTTGAACCTTTAAAGGGGACTGCCTCTCCCTGAGATGGTGCGGTCCTGTGGAGTCCACCTGCATGTGGTGCTCTTGAGGCCGTCCTGGCCAGTTTTTCAATAAATCCTTGCCTGCTTTTTTTAATCAATCATCAGCCTCTGGTGGTCTTATTTTGAACCCAGGGTTTGACCCCACAACACTAGTATACTTCCATTTAAGTTTGTCTTCAAGATTTTACAATTTTCCAAGTATAAGTATTTTATCTACGTGGTTAAATTTATTCCTAGGTATTTCATTTTATTTTTTAAGTAGTTGTAATGGGGTTGTTTCCTTAGTTTTCCTTTCTGAAAGTTCATTACTGGTATATAAAAATATAGCCGATTTCTGAATATTTTGTGTCCTGCTACTTTATGGATTCCCCTATGCTGTAGTGTATAGCCCTGTGACTGTTTTATAACTACCAATTTGTACTTCTTAATCTTGTCCCATTTTCACCCCATTCTTCAACTCCCCTCCCATCTGGCAACTATCAGTTTGTTCTCTGTAAAGTTTATCAATTCTAGTCGTGTTTTGGTGGATCTTTTAGTGTTCTCTATAGACACTATTATGTAATCTGCAAATATTGACAGTTTTACTTCTTCCTCACCAATTAGGGTGCCTTTTATTTCTTCTTGTCTAGTTGTGGTAACTAGGACTTCCAGAACTATTGAATAAGAGTAGTGAAAGCAGATATCCCTGTCTTATTCCAGATCTTAAGGAAAATGCTTTTAGTTTTCCCCTATTGAGTCTGATGTTGACTGTGGATTTGTTATATGTGTCCTTTAATTAGATTGAGGTATATTCCCTCCATTCTCACTTTGCTGAGTTTTTATCATAAATTGGGGCAGGATTTTGTCAAATGCTTTTCCTACATCTATTAAAATGATCATATGATTTTTATTCTTCATTTTATTTATGTGGTGTATCAATCATGTTAATTGATTTGTGGGTATTGTACCAAACCTGCATCTCTTGAATAAATCCCACTTGGACATTTTTTTAATGTATTGCTGGGTCCGATTTGCTAATGTTTCCCTCCTCCCCCATAGGCAAACAAATGCACTTTATTTTCAGTAAGTTTAAATCCTACATTTCTTGTAGCACCACTTTGAATATTTTGAGGTGTACAGCAGTACACGGATTCTGTGTCCAACGGCCTTGGCAGGAAGGTTGCTTCGGAATTTAGCATGAACTGTTTGTTCCACTGTTGTTTGGGCACGAGTTACCTTTCCCCAGACGACTCGGTTTTGTTTGGTTCGCCACCAGGAGTCGCTGTGTTGTCGTTTGCTTTGTGCACATAGCACATCTCTTGCTTAGAGGGAATTGTTTCATCTGGAACATAAACACCTAAAATTTTAAGAAGAGC